TATATATATATATATATATATATATATATATATATATATATATATATATATATATATATAAGTAAAGGAAAAAGTAATGTATCCAATTGGGCCTGTTATCAGATAGAAAAATTTATTTAAAATTTTAAGCAAAAAATTTTTTTTAATTTCAAATACAATTTTTTTTTTCGAAAAATTGAAGATAACAAATAATTGAGATGGTTGAAATTAAAAAATGGTCAAACATGAATATTATTGAAAAATTGATGTAATCAATTTTGTGCAGGCAGACATTTGAATGAAGTTAATAACAAATTGAAGAGGGTGAACTAATGGTGGGACAGATGGCCCGGATCTGATACTACCACTACCACTACTACTATTACCACCACTACGACGATTACTATGACTACTAGTACTAGTACTACTACTACTACTACAGCTGCTATTATTATTATTATTCCATGGAGACGACACGACAGATGTATGTGTATATTCCGGGGTCGCTTTGTCCTCTTCTGTCACCGAATGGATTATATTTGTCTGGTGTATTATGCAAAATTAATGATAACTGCACAATTATGCAATTTGATTCAATTTGATCTTGCTCGGTACGATTCGATCCGATTTGATCTGATCCAAACCAATTGGAATCAATCAATTAACCTAATACTATTTATCTATTACCTTTTCTTTTTTTATCACTTCATCGCTTTTTTTTTTTTGTTCAAGATCATTTAAACATTTCATAAATAATTCATTAATTCATTTTATTATATACATCTATTTATTAACTTATTTGAGGGGGAAAAAAAAGAGCAAGAAAAGGGTAGATTGTTATTAATTTGATTTGGCAAAAATTAAAAGCTTTTAATCGGAAACATTATTAATCCTTGAGCATTAATTTTATTATAATTGACAAATTTTATCATTTCATATCAATCATAATTGATTTTAATTCTTAAAATTAATTAACATTTGAATGAGACATCCTAAAAGTATGTTATTCCTTTTTTTTTTTTTTAAATATGAGCAATGAAAAACAAAAAACAAACATTGAAATTAAAATATAAATAAACATTTTCTCCATGTATGGACAATTTTCTCATGAAAATGCTTGATTTTTTTTTTTTTTTCATTAAATTCTAATCTTTTCATTTTCGCATTTTCAAATATATTTAACACTGAAATTTCACAAATTTTCAAATAAAAAAAATTTTCTTCGAATCATTTAAAAAAATGCTAATTAAATTTTTTTTTTTAAAAAAGAAAAGAAAGGAAAAAAAATGAATATAAACAAATTAATTAATGTTTAGGAATGGATTTTTTAAGGTGAAAAAAAAAAAGGGAATGAAAGAGTTTTAGAATATCTTTTCGAAAATTTTTGATTTTATTTAACAATGAATTTCATTTATATTATGGAACTAACATGAAGTACCATTTTACTATTTCAGGTTGTTTGTTACAATTCGAGGAAGGAAATGGCCAAACTGAAATTTCCCCATTTTGTAGGCGGTAAAACCAAATCTTTTTATCTAATCAAATTAGATGAAAACTTAAATTATGTGATGTATGTCTGTGTGTGTGTGTCTGTGTGTGGGTGTATGCGTGTATGTGTGCGTATGTGTGTGGTTGTATGTGTGTGTATGTGTGTATGTGGGTGTCTGTGTGTGTGTGTGTGTGTGTGCGTGTGTGTTTTAAGACTGTATAAATTTCTCTGCTTGCAAAAAGAAAAAAAAGGAGGGGAAAGTTTTGATGAAGGAAGCCAAATGAGACAAGGCCAGTGGTATATGCTTCTTGGACATGGTTTAGCTGAGACTTGCTGGGCTCATGCAATCGTTATCTATTGTTTGATTTTGTAAAGGGAGAAACTTCAATTTGAAAAGCTGTAATGTAAATGGCAGCATCATAAAAGAATGAAGGGAAAAAAAGAGAAAGAGAGAGAGAGAGGGAAGAAAGGTACTTGGCACAGGAACTGGTAATTCTGTTTCACACTTCAAAGAGTTTCTAGGAGGATGAAGGGGAGAGATCCGTGCAAGTCGTGCCAGCCAAGTGGATGAAGCTTTTTCTCTTCTTGGCCATACTTTGCCATAACTCTCTGGCTCTTCGCATTTTCCATCCAATATGATAATTCAACCATTCTAGAAGTGTCTATTGTTAGCCATTGTGGAATTTCTTTGTGACATGCTATAAAGAGGCACGAAAAGACCTAAGCTTAAATAGCAAAACTACATTTTCGAACGACAATTTACACTCCAGACTTCACTATTCTACCAACAAAAAAAAGTACAACAATGCAGTCAATGTTTAGGAAGCACAATGAAGCATAGAGCCAAGTAAAGGAATATGAGTTTTTGCAAAATAAAAAAAAAAGAAAGCCACATCAACTCTATCAATTCGTAATGCTCATACACATATATCGCCTCAATCTGAACATCGATTTATAATGGTGACATACACGGCCAGGACTCCTACCTTCTCGTCTGCACATATAGCAAGCCTATACTTGAAAATCATCCAAAATCGATTCTCAAACTACCCTTTTCCCTTTCCTCATCATCTCTTTTCATCATCATCATCCCTAAGTCAGCCATACTTGGCTTTAGGCTCAAATAAGAGCGCAAAATCGAAATGTTTCTCATCAATGTTAACAAACCTCTCTTTTATCATATAACATATACCGAACTATTTCACATAGCATTTTATTCTAACATACAAAATTTGTTTTACGTTTTTTTTTT